TCGTCCCACAGCTTTAAAATAACGTTATAATTATCAATTACTCTCTCAAAACAGATTGCTCGAACCGTCCACCTAGTTGCACTGAATTTTGTAAGTCCAGCAGCCGCCGCGTCTTCTTCTTCCTCGTCCTCGTATTGAAGGTTTTCCTTCAGCTCTCCAAGTAAATTTTCTCGTTTGGGAGAATACTTTACGAGTTTAACAATCTCATTCGTATTATTCATGGTGTTAGATAAGATCTGGCAATTATTTGTTGCATCCTTTACACCTAAGCTCAGGGAGTGACCGTGACAATGTGTGGGAAGGGCCTTTGCTTCACACTCCTGAATTTGTTTTGCCACACCAGATTTTTTACCAAGCATGTTGCTGGCACCATCGTAGCACTGCCCCCTGCACTGGGACAAAGACAACTGCAGTCGAATGAGGCTATCTTTGATTGCCTGGACAATGGTTTCAGATGCGATGTTTGGTATATTGTAAAATCCGAGAAAGTCTTCATGGCCATCAAGTTGTTCGTCAACCCACCGAAAACATAAAGTCAGTTGCTCCTTATTACCAATATCCGTGTATTCGTCAGCTATTATGGAAAAGAATCCTGTTCCAATATCCTTTATGAGGTCCCGTTGAACCTCGTGTGCCATAATTTCAATAATTTCATTTTGTATATCATGGCTCGTATATTTATCACCGCCTCGTTTCTTAAGCAGCTCGAGTAACGCAGGATCGTCGCGTCCCCGAAGTTTCATTAATTGGTAAAAGTTCGACTCAGTATCAGTGTCTCCTTGTATAGCTTGTCCTTGCAAGTTTTCAATTATTTTCAATAAGCAGCGGCGATTGGTCTGCCTTAGTTTCTTGCTCTGCTCATTTGTCATATCGATAACATTGCCACAGTTCTTTGGGAAATTAACTGCATAATCAATCGCCATCTTGTGACATTCTGAAGATTCGTGTTGCTTGAATTTATCTAGGGACTTTTTCCAGTTACAAAACCCATCCGAGATAAACTTTTGATCTTTTTTACTAGCACACCTTAAGTTTCCCTGAGCGTTTTGCTGAGCGCAATAAAAACAAAGGACCGAGTCAAGCTGTTCATCATAGTGCAGCCAAGAAAATATATCAAACCATGCCGCCTGAAAAGAACGATTCTGTCCAGAAAATTTTCTTTTAGGAAACTCAAAGTTTTTTGGTTGGTGAGGGTTCATATAGGATGATATATTTGTTTTCTTGCAAGGGTCGACGTGTATTACCGCTTGTGGCTCATGTACTTTGGACAAAGTTGAGCTCACAACTGTTGGCACTCGATGGCGTTCTGGAGAAACCTGTGGACTGGACGCGGCTTGGTAGTCATCACTTGTACGAGTTGGAGTTCTAGTTATTTGTGCGACAGACTGGGAGACGCAGGCCTGTGCAGGATCGTAGTAAATCGTTCTTTCATTTCCTGAAATGTTAGGATTTGGCACGTTTTTACAAATGATGTTGACACTAACATGCTGGAAGCAAGGTGTCGATAAAGCCGGTTTATGAAACCGCAACGCATGCATACAGTCATGAATACGCATTGCGTATACTTGACTGTATGCCATGGTAATATATATGTTTGGGTACCACTTAATACAAGCAGTTTTTAGTCAAAATAAGATGTATACATACCACCTGGCGCAGCTGAAAAATAATCTGAAATGGTTTTAGCCTTCTTCTTCGCTGTCGTTCGCCTCTCCTTTGGCTCTTTTGAGCTTCCAGTTCCTTCCATATTTCCATAGATCATATGCGCTTCCTGATTTGTAATAATCGAAGGATTGTACGAACCTGGGTGACCAGAACTGTAGACAAATCGTCGCTTCAGATACTTTTCTCTGTATCTTGCAATATATATACAAACAGGAACTGAGTGTTCAATAACCTGTATCCTTTTCGTGAGAATTTTATTCGGAGGTAATTCAGGTTCCAAAGGCAAAGAATAATCAACCACAAGCAAACAGTAAGTTAGAACGACGCCTAGCAGTTTTAACGCCAACATTTTGTTTGGAGCCGAAGCAAAACACGTGTATTCACAGTGTTTCTTAAGTGATATGGGATTTCAACAGTTATTTGAAACCAAGTGTGACACCTTGGATAATGCTACGATATGCTACGAATTTTAAATAAAGTGGTCAATGCGATTAACACCTCTTGACATTATTGCATCATCAAGGTTGAGATCTGTTGTTTGTAACTATGTTTCCCTGGTTGGAAGTGGCCTCTGTAATTTTGAAACACGCAAATCAGACATTTAATATTTTTCTGGACTACGCAAAGAAAAGTGCTATCCGCGCTATATTAAAATCAGATATGTAGGAAAAATTATTGGGGGGGCTAAAGCCCCCCAGCCCCCCCTGCTCCGCGGTCCCTGTCATTGTTCAACGACACGGATCAATGAAGACACACGATTACGACACTCAAAAGCATCAATTTATATTAACCATTCTTCCTTTTAATAAAAGATCGGTTTTGCTCGAATCATTTTGAGTTATGCAATCTTATGCGTGTTGGACGTAAACAACATATCTTGTCTACAACTTTGAGAAGGTGCAGATAATTCCTTCTAATATCCTTAATTCAGGATCTATCTCTACAAAATCACAAGCTAGGACGTTTAATCTTTGACGACCCATCCCAGTTCATTCATCCTCGAGAGGTTCAATGTTTGCATGTTCATATTTTCGCTTCAGTGCATGCTATGAAGACAGAAATACCACCATTCGATTCAGAAATAAAAGATTCAACTAATTCGTCACTATAGTTATAGTCATTATCAACATTGTAGCGATTTACGGGCCTTTGAAGTCTAACACGATCATATTGTATCAAATTACGCAATTGTCTGAACAAAAATATAAACTGGTCATACCTTTCGCCGAAAATAACTTCGGCCCCTTTGAACATATCGTCTTTGTAATAGTCTTGTTCGAATTCCCATCAAAAACACTATTTAGAGTGTTATTTGCAAGCCTGTATCTTCAAATCTGTATCTTTTATCAATATATTTCCATTTCTTGTCCGACTGTGAGCTCAAAGTGAGTTAACTCCAACCGGAAATACGACTGAAAACCGTCAAAACAATGCGACGTTTGTATCGTATGACCCTGCAAATGCCAAAAATGCAGCCTAGACCTAGGCCTTCTATATTTATTATTTTTTAATATTAAGCGTTTTTCACATGAAAAGACTGGGACTAGGTGATTTGGGGGCGGGGCGGAGGATGACGCAAGCGAAAAATAAAAGACCTAGTGGATCTCCCAACAAGAAGGCCAAAACTGCCCTGAAACTGCCCTGGTTGCGAAATGCCCAATTATTGCGTTCTCAAACAGAATTATTTGCAACTTAACAGCGAATTTAAACCGATACAGGTAAAATAAACTCATTTATAGTATAAACGTACTATTT